AGGGTCGAAAAGTAGGCTCGCTAAAGCGGCGGGTGCGGAGCCAGCTGGCCACAGGAGCGATGAAAAATTGCACGCCGTTGTGGCGCGAAGCACATTTCCAAGTCAAAATGTACAAAACTCCAGGGGTTCGGACCACTTTTGGAAGTTGAGATGTCGAAAAAGTGCACGCCGTTGTGGCGCGAAGCACATTTCCAAGTCAAAAGTGTTAAAAACTGACGGTCTCGGACCACTTTTTGAAGTTCAGATGTCGAAAAAGTGCACGCCGTTGTGGCGCGAAGCACATTTCGAAGTCAAAAGTGTTAAAAACTGACGGTCTCGGACCACTTTTGGAGGTTCAGATGTCGAAAAAGTGTCGAAAAAGTGCACGCCGTTGTGGCGCGAAGCACATTTCGAAGTCAAAAGTGTAAAAAACTCAGGGTTTTGAGCCTTTTTTGACGTGCAGATGTCGAAAAAGTAGACACTGATTAACTTAACTAACTTGACTAACTTAAGTAACTTCACTAACGTAACTGCCCTAACTTCGACGACAACAGCAACAGCAACAGCAACAGCAACAGCAACAACAACAACAAAAACAACAACAACAACAACAACAACAACAACAACAACAACAACAACAACAACAACAACAACAACAACAACAACAACAACAACAACAACAACAACAACAACAACAACAACAACAACAACAACAACAACAACAATAGATCGATAGATGGAGAGATAGATAGATAGATAGATAGATAGATAGATAGATAGATAGATAGATAGATAGATAGATAGATAGATAGATAGATAGATAGATAGATAGATAGATAGATAGATAGATAGATACATCGATAGATGCATAGATCGATACATGGAGAGATAGATAGATACATAGAGAGATAGATAGATAGACGGAGAGATAGATAGATAGAGAGAGAGAGATAGATAGATAGATAGATTCATAGATAGATAGATAGATAGATAGATAGTCAGACAGGTAGACAGCTAGACAGATAGACAGATGAAAGAGAGAGAGAGAGATAGATAGATGGATAGATAGATAGATAGGTAGATAGGTAGATAGGTAGATAGGTAATTAGATGAAGGAGAGAAAGAGAGAGATAGAAAGATCGATAGATAGATAGATACATAGAAGATAGGCTGGTAGGTAAGTAGATAGTCAGAGAAAGAGAGAGAGAAAGAGACGAGACCTCAAGCACCTTTCAATCCATCAGTGGCTTCGCTCTGCCATCCCTGATTCGCAACAACCAACCTCTCCTATAGGTTTCCTATTTTTGAAACTTCCGCCACCGCCTTGTGCGGTACTACTGGTAAATTCGTCTTCCCATCTCAATACCGGCCAGTTCTTATCTTTGAAGTCCCATATCATGTGGTAAATTCGTCTTCCCATCTCATTACCTGCCACTTCCCATCTTGGAAGTCCCATCTCCTGTGGTAAATTCGTCTTCCCATCTCCTTACCTGCCACTTCCCATTTTTGAAGTCCCATGTCATGTGGTAAATTCGTCTTCCCATCTCATTACCTGCCACTTCCAATCTTGAACGTCCCATCTCCCGCGGTAAATTCGTCTTCCCATCTCATTACCTGCCACTTCCCATCTTGGACGTCCCATCTCCTGTGGTAAATTCGTCTTCCCATCTCATTACCTGCCACTTCCCATCTTGGACGTCCCATCTCCTATTGTAAATTCGTCTTCCCATCTCCTTACCTGCCACTTCCAATCTTGGACGTCCCATCTCCTGTGGTAAATTCGTCTTCCCATCTCATTACCTGCCACTTCCCATCTTGGAAGTCCCATGTCATGTGGTAGATTCGTTTTCCCACCTCAGTACCTGCCACTTCCCATCTTGGAAGTCCCATCTCCTGTGGTAAATTCGTCTTCCGATCTCACTACCTGCCACTTCCCATCTCCTGTGGTAAATTCGTCTTCCCATCTCAATACCGGCCAGTTCTCATCTTTGAAGTCCCATGTCATGTGGTAAATTCGTCTTCCCATCTCATTACCTGCCACTTCCCATCTTGGAAGTCCCATCTCCTGTGGTAAATTCGTCTTCCCATCTCATTACCCGCCACTTCCCATTTTTGAAGTCCCATGTCATGTGGTAAATTCGTCTTCCCATCTCATTACGTGCCACTTCCAATCTTGAACGTCCCATCTCCCGCGGTAAATTCGACTTCCCATCTCATTACCTGCCACTTCCCATCTTGGACGTCCCATCTCCCGTGGTAAATTCGTCTTCCCATCTCCTTACCTGCCACTTCCAATGTTGGACGTTCCATCTCGTGTGGTAATTTTGTCGTCTCATGTCATTTCCTGCCACTTTCCATCTTGGACGTCCCATCTCCCGTGGTAAATTCGTCTTCCCATCTCACTACTCGCACTACCTGCCACTTCCCATCTTTGAAGTCCCATGTCATGTGGTGAATTCGTCTTCCCATCTCATTACCTGCCACTTCCCATCTTGGAAGTCCCGTCTCCTGTGGTAAATTCGTCTTCCCATCTCATTACCTGCCACTTCCCATCTTGGAAGTCCCATGTCATGTGGTAGATTCGTTTTCCCACCTCATTACCTGCCACTTCCCATCTTGGACGTCCCATCTTCTGTGGTAAATTCGTCTTTCCATCTCATTACCTGCCACTTCCCATCTTGGACGTCCCATCTCCTGTGGTAAATTCGTCTTCCCATCTCCTTACCTGCCACTTCCCATCTTGGACGTCCCATCTTCTGTGGTAAATTCGTCTTCCCATCTCATTACCGGCCACTTCCCATCTTGGAAGTCCCATCTCCTGTGGTAAATTCGTCTTCCCATCGCATTACCTGCCACTTTTCATCTTGGAAGTCCCATGTCATGTGGTAAATTCGTCTTCCCATCTCATTACCTGCCACTTCCCATCTTGGACGTCCCATCTCCTGTGGTAAATTCATCTTTCCATCTCATTACCTGTTACCTGCCACTTCCCATCTTGGACGTCTGTGTTTTCCTGGAAGTCCCAAGATTCTTGTCAAATTTGATCAGTTATTTCCATGTCATCTGTCAAAAAAATGAAAAATACCTGCCCGTTCGGTCGGCGCATACAGTTGACTGATAAAGTTGTGCCTAAAATTTGGAAATCATCGTAAATAGCTGTGGAGCACTTGATTTGAAAAGTCGTGCCTTTTTAGTAAAACGCATAGGAATTGCAATGTTTTGTTGGATTTGGTCTTTGGAATAGTTTGTGCTAATAAACCTTGCGATTAGGTTGTGTTTAGCATCAAGAGTAACCTTTTCCATACCGAGTCGCACTGGATGTGAGTGTAGCGATTAGTTGGTGTTTCTATTTTTTTCTTCCCAGTGTGTTCAATGTCTCGGGTTATTTTGTATTTCCTGCGGCAACCATTTTCACTTTTCACTGCGTGCTCAACGCGGCATGGTGGCACTTCAGCGTGTTGCTCATTGTTGTGTCTTCGTGTCGGTTTTAGTTTCTTATGGGGTTCCGCAGGCGGGTGGGCAGAGAGCCTTTCTTGTTATTTTTTGACGTCGTTTGCTACGTCGTTCGGACGTCGTTCGGCACGTCGTGGTTTCAAAAATAGGAAACCTATAGGAGAGGTTGGTTGTTGTGAATCACGGATGGCGGAGCGAAGCCACTCATGGACCGAAAGGTGGTTGATGTTTCCTCTCTTTCTTATACATCCGCGATTCCATGGTGTTTTAAGATTTGGGCATGACTTAGGCATGAGTTTCTTGAAACAGCGATTCCATGGTGATCTACTAGCAAGTTTTGACCCAGGCATGAGTTAGGCATGAGTTTGTCGTTTGACTGTAAGTACCACGTCATGTGTAATATTGAAAAAACAGCAAAATTGATACATAAATCCCATGTCATGCGCCAAGAAACCTCGGCTAAATCGGCCGCAAAGTCCCGTGTCATCTGCGCCTACTATATATATATATATCTATCTATCTTATCAGCACAATCCTCTCTTCATGCAGAAAAACATCAAGTCAGGGAGAAACGTCACTATGTGTCAATTTTTCGGCATTTTGTGGTGGCAGGTGCAGATATGCTGTGGTCATGATGAAGTCCGGAGTTGAGTGCGCTAATGCTTTTACTGCAATCGTTTTTATGGGTTTTGGAGTGGGCCTTGTTTCCATGTGTTTTTTCATCCAGAGCCGGTTGCAACTTGCAGAATGGCTATGCTAAGGTGGTCCTGCCTCTCACTACCAGCATCATGTACCATACATACTGCATGGGAACATGCGGTACCGTTGCACATGTCTCACTCACAGTCCATCCATTCAACGAATCCAATGATGTAACCAAGGATTTGTTGATTGTTGAAAAAATGATTTTGTTCACCTTAGGACACCTCAGTCATCCGTTAAATTTTGCAATGACTCACAGCTTCTCAACGCGGTCTTCTCACTTTTCCCCGTCCATTCCTTCAACCGCTCACATTCAAATCTACTTAATCGCTCACGTATTCAGACAATCCGTCAGTGACATTAATGACTCAATCACCCCTTTCCGGCTTCTTTTTCTTGGACGGTTCAATCCTTCGCGCGTGAGACGAAACCATTGTTTAAGATTAGAAATGGTAGGCTGAAATAGCGAACCCTATTATAGTTACCGATGGTCATATTTAGAATCCAGAAGTGAAACTGTGCCAAACAAATTTGCTGCCATTGCGGCTCCGTTCTTGCTTCTTCAGAAACTAAAACGGTCATCACCGCTTTGTAAAACTAAAACGGAAAGTAATCGCGTTGATTTTTGACGAAGCAATACTTTCCCAACGATCCGGCGTTTGGATCTTTTTGGTTGTTTGTTGTACTTCGGTAGTCCTCGGGCAAATGATAATTTCCCTTTCCAATCGGCGAAGTGCTTCTGCGCTCCTGTTGTCCTCAGGATATATTCAGACGAGATTTTCCGCCTGTCAAGACATTGTTATGTTGATGATTTGCACCGCTTACCGCCGTTCACTTGGTCGCATCTGCCCAACCGTCAATTTTAGGTCGCAAGGCTATCCATCTCATGGACCACTGACTGCCTTCCACTGGTTTTCATGCTGCTGGTCTTCAGTGAGGTGCGAGTTTGAGAGAGTCTAGTCCAAAGATGTCTAATGATGTCCACAGGGGGTATCGTGGGCATCTTTGATCATCTTTGTGCTCAAGGTTATAAGGAATACACACCATTCTGTGTCACGCAATAGAATGCAATACTGTCAAACAAATTTGGGCTGCTGGCTTTGCAGAAGCGTTCCCGCATTGATCCGGGAGAGTTGTGATGCATTGTGACGTGATCCTTTGCCATCATTGCGAGTGTCAGGCAAAAGCAAGGAGGTCGCCATTCTGGGTACAGCTCCTGTTGCCGATTTTCAGCTTCCTGTTGCTGGGTACCTTGCAAAGTTCAGATGGGAGACTTAAGCAAAGTATAGCAAAGTTATGCAAAGGATGGCAAAGTTCAGTCATTTAGCCGCTGCGTTTCCTGTAGCTTTCCTGGTATGGCATTGCCAAGGCACGCTGGTTGCATTCTGCTTCAAACTGGCCTCCGGCTACCCTTACTTCATTGGTGGGCCTGTCCGTGGAAAAGACATCATGACAGACAGTAATCATGAGACATCATGATTAATAGTCACTGAAACCAATGGCATCCAATATATTGGCTGTCCAAGTCATCAGACAGCTGTTGACAGCGCGTCGAAAAAAGTGTGAATGATATTTGCATGGAAAAAGTAAAACAAGTAAAACAAGTATACACGTATTTACAAAGTATAGTAAATGCGAGAAAATTTCAGTCTTCCAACGACAAAATGATAATGCACCACTGTAAGAACATTCTGTTCTTTGGCTGTCTGTACCTGTGGCTGTCTAGACCGGGCTTACTAAGATCCTGATATTGCTCAACTTTACGTTATTTTCATGATCAAACGGTTGTTGCATGTTGTTATGGTGCAGGAAATTGAAAAGGGCATGGTTTGTTTTTTACATTGACCATGGTAAATTTCTGTGCAGAGTTTTTCGTTGAAGAAGACGATGATTTTGCTGCAGGATGATTTGATTCACAGTCTCAAGGACGTCTCGTCAAACACTAACGGACTGAGCTTCGAAACAGAAGTCTCCGCTTTCCTTGTACGGCACTAGCAGACTAGCAGCCACGAAAATGCCTCACATCAGTCAGTTCAGCTGTTGATATGTCTTCATGGTGGAAAAATAATGTAGCCAACAATGGATTGAATTGGGTTCCCGACTCCTTGCCCTTAACCCCCTTGGCATCCCTTGGCTGTTTGTCCTCTTTCACTTAGACGGGTTCCTTGGCAAACGGCTGAAAGTCGCCATGGTGATTGCTGCCATGAGCGCCCTTGCAATGGACAGCATGGCCCATATTGTGGGTGAAGGCCCTCTTATCAACGCAGAGAAGGTGCTGAGTGGTGGAGTTGGGTCAATCACATTTTACGCATCTTAGATTTGTGGATCAGAGAGCAGAAGCCCACTGAGCTAGTTCATGATTGAGTAGCCCCCTGGACAAAAGTTACGCTGAGCCATCGGATAAACCCCTACAACTGAAGTGACACACTTAGCAAAGCGCGCTGTTTACTTGAAGTCTACTTACAGTAAATATTTGACAGCCAGCTCAAGCAGAAGAATGATATAGAGTGATTTGCAGCGGAGTTGGCCGCTTTAGAAAGCTCGAACCACTATGGACCCCTATGAGCCATTGGGTGTGTCCAAAAATGATTGAAAGCTGGACGCAGCTGGGCAGGAATTTGACCGCTTTATGAAGAGCTATGAATTTGCCATCGAAGCTCAGAAACTCAAGCGTAGCTGGGCTTTCAGGTGCAGGTGCCCAAGGATGGCTTGTAAAACGCATGCGTATAACATCTTGAAACAGGTCCGCAAAGTTTCTACAAAGCCTTTGCACAACTCGCTTCATTTTTGTGTAGGCTCAAAGCATGACATCGATTGGTTCTATTGTTCTACCGCACCTCCACCTCAACCCCGTGTTCAGGCTACATGTGCGAAGGTCAAATGTCATGTCATAGTGCCAAGGTGAAGATATCAAGAGCCTCATGGAGTTGGTCGTTGATAGAATGGCAGGGGCTCCCGGCTTTGAGCTATGAGGTTGGAAATGCAATATTGATATCTCATTCTATAGGTTTGCAATGCAAGTTTTGAAGGACTCACGTGTCACAAACTTCGTAGCTATCCAAACCTGTACAAGCCGGCTAGCCGCTAGCCAACATAGCACACCTTTTCTTTTTCTACATGGAGCTAAGTGTTTGTGCGCCTAAGGACATGTATCATTTGATTGGAGCGCTTCTGTTGGAATTTTGTGTTGGCTTCTACGGAGAATTCAAGATGCTGGAAGAGGACTTCACTATAGGCAATTCCGGACGCAACAAATCTTGCTTACAATAGTGAATTTGGATGAATTTGACATGGGTTGCGCGGTTGCGCAAGTTGGCCAATATTCAGAATGTTGTGAACCCTCCTTTTCAATCTTATACGGGCAAGCCACTCAAGCAGATGCATTAGTCCCCTTCGTGTGCAGGACTATGTCAACGAACCGAAGCTGATTATGGAAATTTTCCTGCTGAGAATTCTAGTTGCATCATAAGTCGAGTTACCTGCGAGAGAGAGTGAGAGAGAGAGAGAGAGGGGAAGGCAGACGGTGAGCGAGAGTCAAGATTCAAAGTATTTCCAAGTCCAAAACGAGCGCCTTTTGCAAAATTCCAAAGGTAAACGACGTTACCGGCAGAGACAGATGTGCCTGCCAGATCTTTTTTTGTTGGAGTCAAAGCCACACTTTGCTGTCTTTCAAGGTAACATTGCAGCGGTTGGCTACTTGCTCTTTGCCATTTGGCTTTCGCTGCATGCATCTGTAGCAGCTCATGCTATCGGAGTTGAGTTCCTGCTGGACTGACTACTGGAGTTCAAAGATCTCTGTAGCAAGCACAGCACCATCACCAGACAATTATTCCATGCTCTTGAGTGCCGAATCCCAAGCAGTAGGCTTTCCACAAAGAAGTCACAAGGGTCGCGTGGGTCACCGAGCTCCCCTGGAATTTCTTTGATTGTTTCTGAGCTCTTGCGAAGCCAGGGAAAGGATGGACAGGTCCCTGGCTGGATTTGTGCTGAGTCTTCAAAACTTCTCTCACTTCAGTCACTTCAGTCACTTCGGTCACTTCAGTCACTTCGGTCACTTCAGTCACTTCGGTCACTTCAGTAACTTCTTCAATCTTCACTGCAAAAGCTGCAAATGTTGACTCATGAAACCAGCTAGCAGGCTACCTCCAGAATCTATCCGGAAATCGTAGTAGTGCAAAAAGCAAAAGGTAGAAACCCGAGAGCAAACCTTATGAAATTGTATGAAGACAGGGAACTCTCGAGTCACTTTGTCCGCATTTCATATAGGGCTTTACAGCTAGACAACATGGTGCTTTCCGGTGCTCCCTGGTGCTGGATGGTGGTATTTGGTGCTCCCTGGTTCCCCTTAATGCTTGTTGCCTGAACCTGGCAAGTGCTGAGCGTACATGCAGAGACGTCTTGCACTCTTCTTGCAGCACCTTTTTCGATTCGCCCCCCTTTTTTATCCTTTTTTTCCTCGCGGGAAATCCCTTCAAATGAGTAACCGACAAAATTATATAGGATTATTGCAATACTAATTTAGTCAATTTAGTCTTCCTTCGCCTTTGTTTGCTGGGTGTGCAAAACCTTCATTCCCGATAGGGGATGACCATATGCCGATACCCCTTTGCCTGAGTCGCTTCAAAGTCTGTGACAGCAGAAATCTTTACTACCGATAGGGGTCGAACCTATATTGAATATTGCCTGAAAATGAACAAGTAATTTCGCCCGCCATTCAAATGTCAATGAATGGTTTGATGAAGATCGAAGGAATAAATGATCAAATGAAGAAATTACAGTAACAGATAAAAGAAACAACAAACCTAGGGGTGAACGCATGGATGGATGAAATGAATCGAATGATGATTGATTGAGCAAACAGACGAACCAACGAATCAATCAAAGAATCAGAGAATGAACTTTCAGTTTCTGTTTCAGCTACTAAGTTTTGAGCCTACAGGTGAAGGCAGACATTGATTCTGGGGCAATCGCAAAGCAAAAACCACGGCCAGGACCACAATCGTTTGACAGTTCCTACACCAGATAATTTGCGAGAGATGCGGCAAGCCACATCTATGTTTCGTTCCACCTACAGGAAACTCGGACTGCAATAGTTTCGGGGGGGCTGCGGGATTCCTCGCTGCCTCGCTGCTTTGCTCTGGCCTTCCCACCAAACTTTGGCGGAGCCTAATCCCTTTAGTGTATGTCTTGTCAGAAGCAAGTGAGATAGGGCACTAAAGGGCAAATCTTGAGAGATGGTAGTTTGATCTTTTAATTTGGTGGTTCAAAATTTTGACACACAAAGAGCTGACTCCCTGCAGACAGCCACACCTCCACACCCATGGAGAACAACATGTTAAACATGTTCAGTATCAGGGTTAGTGCTGTGCTAAAATACCAGGAGACTCGTGCTGACAGCTCAAATGTTTCACTCCAAGGATGGCCTTGCGCAACTTGCTCGACTGTCGGATAGTGCGTTCGTTTATTTTAGAGCTGACGCTCATCGTCGGCTCCGCCGGATTACTTTACCCTCGATGTCATCGCAGGATGGGCTTGAAAGCTATTGAATGAAGACCTGCTGCTTCAGAAATATATTCCTTATGCTTTTTTGAACATATTGGTGGATGTGTAAAAACTTATGTGTGAAAAAGCTTCTGCGTGTAAAAGCTTCTCTGTGTAAAGACTTCTTCGTGTAAAAACTTCTGTGTGTGAAAGCTTCCATGTGTAAAAGCTCTCTGTGTAAAGACTTCTTTGCGTAAAAGTTTCTGTCTGTAAACTCGCCTGTGGGTTAAAGCTCTCTGTGTAAAGACTTTTTTGTGCAACAGCGTCTGTATGCAACAGCTTCTGTGTGTAAACGCCCTTGTGTGTAAAAGCTCCTGTGTAAAGGCTTCTCTGTGTAAACGCTTCTGTGTGCAAACGCGTCTGTGTGTATAATCACTTCTCTGTGTAAAAGCTTCTGTGTGTAAAAGCTCCTCTATGTAAAAGCGTTTGTGTGCAAAATCTCCTTAGTGTAAAGACTTCTCTGTGTAAAAGCTTCCGTGCTTAAAAGCTCCTCTGTGTAAAGATTTCTCTCGCTTCTGTGTGTAAACGTGTCTGTGTAAACGTGTCTGTGTAAACGTGTCTGTGTAAAAGCTCCTCACCAGCAGCATTCATCATCATATTTTCTTGTGTGCTATCTTCTCGTCTCCTCCCTCCAGCTTTCTTTCGGGCCACACTGTCGTCTAGTTTCAATCTGTAACATTCTGTAACGTCGTTTCTTGTTGAAGAATGCCAAGAACATGTGAAAGCATCGCTCGTTCAAAAATTGAACATAAAACAGCGCGCAAAGTGCTGTAATTTACAGCATTTTGCGCTGTCAGATGGCAAGAACCCGCGTAAATACCACAGTTTTAGTCCCCGAAAGTAAATAAAACACTGTTATTTACAGGGTTTCGCTCACGTCACGATCTTGTTTTTTTTGAAAAAGGCGTAAATACCAGCGTTTTTTGCATTCATCAAGGCAAAAAGTCGGTTCGAAAAGTGCAAAAAATGCTGTAATTTACAGGGGTTTGGTACTGTCACGGGAAAAACAACTGCGTAAATACCAGCGTTTTGGCGCCCAAAAGTGGCGAAAACGCTGCTACGTACAGGGTTCCGTGCCTTCCACGTTTTCTTGAAATTGCAAAAACCGTGTTAAAACGCAAACATGCTTTAATTTACAACACTTTGCTAATTTCGAAATGCTCAAAATCGTCCGAAAAATCTGTCAAAACGCAACTTTTTTCCGATTTTAGGTACCCTCAAAACGGGGGGGGGGGAATGCTCTTGAAGACGCTTATGAGCGACCCGGATTCCGTCCAGAAAGCTTTCCCCCAGCAGAGTGAAGGATTTTTGGCGTTTTTCGGGGCCTGGCGTCGGAGGGTCGGCGGTTTGGGGCGCGCCTCACCATATGCTCTAGTCGCTCTGGGACGCTCCGGCGGAGCCGAATTTTTGAGCTGACGCTCATCGTCGGCTCCGCCGGAATACGCGACCCTCCATTTCATCGCAGTGGGGGCTTGAAAGCTATTGAATGAGGACCTGCTTCAGAAATATAATCCTTAGGTTTCTTGGAGCACATTTGTTGGAAATAGACGGTTTTTTGGGAGAAAGTGAGTTCCCGAAAGCTCCTGCGAAGGGTTTTTCCTAAAGAACTGCCTCTGTGCAGAGACTTCTCTGTGTAAAAGCTTTTGTGTGTAAAAGTTTCTCTGTGTAAAAGTTTCTGTGTAAAGACTTCTTTGTGTAAAAGCTTTCTTCTGTGTGTGAAAGTTTCTCTGTGTGAAAGCGCGTCTGTGTAAAGATTTCTCTGTGTAAAAACTCTCTGTGTAAAGGCTTCTCTGTGTAAAAGTTTCTGTGTGTAAACACGTCTGTGCCCTAAAGCTCTCCGTGTAAAGTTGCAGGGCTAAAACACCATGGCAGTGAAGGACGGATCGGGCCCGCGGCCGGCAGGCCATAGTGCCATACATTATATTGCTTTCTGAAGTGCCTAGAAACTAGCTTCAAACCTTGCCTTTACCTGCAGTTCTGCACTTCCAGCTTCCAAATTGCCTGCTGCGTCTTGCAGGTGGCTTTCGTCTGGCGCAGCCCGTGTCCAAGGACGATGTCGCAGGGCTAAAACACCATGGCAGTGAAGGACGGATCGGGCCCGCGGCCGGCAGGCCATAGTGCCAAACGTTGCTTTCTGAATTGCCTAGAAACTAGCTTCGAACCTTCAACTTGCTTGCCTTCCTGCACTGCCAGCTTCCGAATTGCCTGCTGCGTCTTGCAGGTGGCTTTCGTCTGGCCTGTACTGTTAACTTCGCTTTCTGAACGGACACGCTTCATGTTGCTTGTTGAACGGGCACTTGCTGCTGGTAATTGCTCCTCTGACGCTCCCCCTGCTGCAAGCGGGGTCGGCGGATTTATTTGGTCACTCCAAGGTCCATGGCCCGACCAAACATAATCCATGAGTGGATAACACCTTTGACTTCTTAGAAGAATGTTTTAGAGTCCACAAGGGAAACATGCACACGTCAGACATTGTTTTGCACATATATTATGTTACAGTTGCGGTACTTGCTGATTATGAATCAGATAATCTTCTTGCGAGATGGTAGTTTGCTCTTTTTTTCTGTAGTCCAGAAAATCCATCAGATAGTGCATGCACAAGACAGTATTGGGCTTTGGAAAAGGGTGCTTGCTAGCAGAAAACATTTGGGCGATAATCCGGCCGATATACTACCAGGTAGACGCCCGTGTCCCTCTTCAAGAGGAGCGGAGCAGAATTGCGGGTAGCGGAGCAAACCTGCATCAGAGACTATTGGATCCTGGAAAACAGTGCTTGCTAGCGTGCTAGCAGAAGACACGTGGGCGGACCTACTAATCGTCATCTTCCACATCTACTGCAGGCTCCTTGGCTATCATCACTGCTGACGCCTGGCACGGCAGCATTTCGCACTGAGCCCTGGCAGCCAGTATCCGGAGATCCTGGCACTCCAGTGACTGCAAGGGTTCACTGCTATACTTGAAAACCGTCACCGCGAAGAATTCCAAACTGAAATCCAGGCCAGCAGAAGAAAAAATCAAGTTCAAAATCTTTCTGTGTCAGTGCAGTTTGGTTTCAGCCCATCTCACTACTGCATGTGCCCGCATTTAGCCTGAAAGTACCCCAATGTAAAGGAGATAGGCTGGTTTCAAATGAAACCAGCCCATCTCTGGGGTTGGTTCGTGCAATAGTGAGATGGGCTGAAACCACACTGCACTGACACAGAAAGATTTTGAACTTGATTTTTTCTTCTGCTGGCCTGGATTTCAGTTTGGAGTTCTTCGCGGTGACGGTTTTCAAGTATAGCAGTGAACCCTTGCAGTCACTGGAGTGCCAGGATCTCCGGATACTGGCTGCCAGGGCTCAGTGCGAAATGCTGCCGTGCCAGGCGTCAGCAGTGATGATAGCCAAGGAGCCTGCAGTAGATGTGGAAGATGACGATTAGTAGGTCCGCCCACGTGTCTTCTGCTAGCACGCTAGCAAGCACTGTTTTCCAGGATCCAATAGTCTCTGATGCAGGTTTGCTCCGCTACCCGCAATTCTGCTCCGCTCCTCTTGAAGAGGGACACGGGCGTCTACCTGGTAGTATATCGGCCGGATTATCGCCCAAATGTTTTCTGCTAGCAAGCACCCTTTTCCAAAGCCCAATACTGTCTTGTGCATGCACTATCTGATGGATTTTCTGGACTACAGAAAAAAAGAGCAAACTACCATCTCGCAAGAAGATTATCTGATTCATAATCAGCAAGTACCGCAACTGTAACATAATATATGTGCAAAACAATGTCTGACGTGTGCATGTTTCCCTTGTGGACTCTAAAACACCCTTTTAAAAGATCAAAGGTGCTATCCACTCATGGATTATGTTTGGCCGGGCCATGGACAGTTTCCTGTAGTACACCTTGGAGTGACCAAGTAAATAAACGAACGCACTATCCGACAGTCGAGCAAGTTGCGCAAGGCCATCCTTGGAGTGAAACATTTGAGCTGTCAGCACGAGTCTCCTGGTATTTTAGCACAGCACTAACCCTGATACTGAACATGTTTAACATGTTGTTCTCCATGGGTGTGGAGGTGTGGCTGTCTGCAGGGAGTCAGCTCTTTGTGTGTCAAAATTTTGAACTACTGTACCAAATTAAAAGACCAAACTACCATCTCTCAAGATTTGCCCTTACTACCTGGCTGGCACATTGACGTGTTGAGAGTCTAGGCGATTTACCTGATGTTTGCGGCTGGCAGGTTGTTCATGAACCTGCAGCGGAAGTTTGGTCAAGGTGACGGCCTGACCATGACTGGGCCATGTATCGCAATCAATGCAGATAGTAAGTGCACGGAAGTTTTGCTTCTGAGAGCAGCAAATTGCATGCACACCATAGTGTTGCCACCCATGATTCGCAGACAGCACAGAGTAGTGCTCGTAGAGCAGCCCGGACCATGTAAATGCCTCATCAGGAATCTTGATGCGAACTCAGGACTTGAACACAGTCCGAAACATTTTTGTTTTGAACAAGAAGCCGATCCAAATGGGGAGAACTATTCCAGGGACGCACAACCATCGGTTCTAGGATCGACCGTGAACCATCCAACTTTTCAGGCGTAATTCGGCAGAATAGCATCTGACACATTCATCCACAGATAAAATTCTGGTAAATTCTGGCGCAATTCAGGTTGGTCAAATGTTGCGCTTTGGCCGGGTTAAACCCAAATGGAAGGAATTGAAATGGTCTAAATGGAAGTGCAACGAGACGGAATGGAATGGAGTCAAATGGTTTCGGATCAGTGTTAAGATTATGAAGACTGTTAATAAGATACGGATTCAGTGCATGCATTAATAATAAGAAGATCGTGTAATGAACATGTGAGGGGAGCAGCAGAGACCTGCTCTGCAATCGCAGCTGATGCAAATCTTACACAGGCGTTCATGCAGCCATACATCCCCATAACTCCACTTTCAAAGCTGAGACCGGACCAATGCAGAGAAACCCACTGCCGAAACAATTCATTCCAAGAATTGGTTGTAGATTCAGTTGTAGATTGTAGATCCATGTAAATCCAACCTTTGACATGGTAGCTGTGGGGCCGTGACTTTTCGATAGTTTTTGCTGCTGTGAGGCTCAGAAGCAGCGTCCGGTTCTAGTGGGCCTTTTGGCAATCTTCCAAGCGTGCCAGAAGCAAAGGATCTCAAGGACCCTCCTGTGGAGTTATCCCTGGAGGCGGGGCCAGTTGGCTTATTGTTGAAAGAAAACGAAGGAAACATCACAGGAAACACTATCACAAGACACAAGAAACAATATGATTGGAAGTGATAGGAAACATCATAGGAGACACATAGAAGCACTCTGGCCGACTCTGACCTGAATGCAGAAACTCGACCGGATTTCTTCCTGAGGCCTTGGCAACGCCCGGAGAGTCCATGGTGATGCCACGCCTTAACAACGACCTTCGAAAGCTGGCCACCTGCCAGCTTAAAACAAGAACTATATATTATATTTTTATGTGTATAATTTATTTAATGATCTTATAATGGTTTGTATCGATTGATGATATTCAGCAAAATTGCTGTTCATTGGCAGAATACAGTATTTGTTTTTGCAATCTTGTCGTGGTTAGGCTTAGGTACTTGTAATTGCCCCGATGCACGTGTTATCGCATTGCGGAAATTGCACAGATGTTTTCATGATGTTTTCCAAGTGTCGTGTACTTGTTATACAGCATGTAATCGTGCAACGCAATGTGGAGGTAAAATCGGTAATATGTGTTGGTTAGACCTGGCAACGTAACTTGATCGAAATTTCTTCTATCAGTGATATCAATCAATATGGTTGAACTTATGCAAGCGTGATGTATTGAAATGAAGGTACGGATTATTTGGTTGGGGCGGGCCTGAGGATCGACTTGTGACAGTGAAACTACGTGAAACTACGTGAAACTACGTGAAACTATATGAAACTGCGCCCTTTTTGAACTTTCCAGCTGAGCGGAGGAACATCGTGCCCAGTTTGCACGGCACCATCGTGCTTGGCTTCGTTTTGATGCCTATTCGCGTGTTCCTTGTGAGACATCAGACAGGGAGCAAATAGGAGGGAAGGACCAGGGCAATGCTGCAACAGTGCGACAATTAACGTGGACACGCCCTTCCTCTTGCTGCAGTTGACTTTTGTACCTGATCAGGTTTCGATGGCTTTGGGCATCAATCAGATGCTTCAATCTATGTCTTACTTCATCGCTGGCCCAGTGCAGAAACACAGGCACGGGACGGCGGGAAGATTAAATTCATGAAAATTCGTGTCATACGTGCCTTGTCTGGATCTTTGTGGCACATCGCAAGATTGTCACAAGATTGCTACATTGAAACTCTCCCAGTGCAGTGCACTCTAAGCTTGGAGAAACGAGGCCCAGCTTTGCTTTGATTACCGTGATCGGGGTCCAGGTGCTGCCGAAGCTTTGCAGCTTTTGTGTATTGCAAAGACGATAACCGTTGGGATTGCCGCGATAGCACCATTGGTGCACCGTCGGGATATGACCAGCCTAGATTTTCCAGCTTTGCAGCCAACGATAGCTTAGACCGCCCAGAGAGCCTAGACATCAATGTTGGTATTTGATAAGAGATGCAATGCCTTCCCCGGCCCCATGGTGCGAATAAGACAGAATAGGCGCAACATGGCGCGACATCATGAAGGCATTGTAAAAGCATTGGGGTTTAGCAATGTCAGATCGCCAGATTAAAGCAGGATACAAAGTGTCCCCGAATTAAAGCCACAGTGCTTGAATGACATGAATGCCATATGTGTTGCATGTTGGTTGATCATTCACGATGATTCGTTGAGGCAGTCGCGTTTTTCACTAGTGAAGTTTGCGCTGATGACTTGAAGAAAAACATGGGAAGAGACTCCAAGAGACTCAATAGAACTAGCAGGTTTATTCCATCACCAATGTCGACCAACAAAGTTAAGTCTCGTCTTCAACATCAAAGAAAATGATTGGAACAAGACGATCCCACATTCCGCCACTTTGGCTTCCAGCGGACACACATAGGCAGCACTTCCCCATTGAAAGGCTGTTTACATAGGTCTGCCACCAAAATAGCTCTGCTACCAAGTCACCTTGTTTTCCAGGCTTGTTTATGTCATTTACTGTCTTGCGTATTTTTTTTATGTCTATATATCATACTTATTTCTTCCCTTTCCCATGCGTGGGAGCTTGTGCACCTTTGGCTCAGCCTTTCCTCTCACATCTTTCAATACCATGTTCAACAGTGTTGTCCGGATGACCCTGCCAATGTGCGGCCCCCGGCACATTCCAACCATGCCTGGCCCTCCCAGAAAGTCATGTTGCCAGCCCAACTTTCCACCAAAACGCACGATCATATCATGTACCTCTCTCACTCTCTCTCACTCTCTCTCTCTCTCTCTCTCCCTCTCCCCCTCTCGACCCTGGATTTCGAGTAACATCACCTCTCTCTCGGGTTATGTCTTGAACTACCTCCTCGCTACCTTCGCGGAACACTTTACGCTCCCCGTCACTCCGAGTTTCTGGCTTTGACATCCGCACTGCGTGTTTGCTCCTCGCAGTGCATCCGAAAGAGTAGAATGTAGAACGTGGTGTGCCACCTTTCGATGCCCTCCCGGTCCATGTTAAGTTCATTTAATCCCTATCTTGGAACCAAATTGACACTATTTTTGATTAAGTTTGAAACAATTTTCGCTGCATGAGTCCTAGAGGAATGATGTCCCCTAAATCCAAAGCCAGTACACACAGAGATTTATTTATGCACATATATATGTCCAGACCAAGTAAGCATGCTCATTGTGTAATTATGTTATAAGCTATAATTATTACACATTTGTATATATGAAGTGTGTGTAAAAAAATGCTAATCGAAGGAAGTTTAGAAGTCAAACTTCCGACAATATGGACAGATGAAAAGCAGAGATGGGAAGAGTCAGAGAAGAGAAGAGAAGAGGAGAGGAGAGGAGAGGAGAGGAGGGGAGAGGAGAGGAGAGGAGAAGAGAAGAGAAGAGAAGAGAAGAGAAGAAGAAAGAATATCAAAAAAGAGAATGTCTCAGAAGAAAGAAGATGCAAGTGCGCGAAAAGGTAGGAAAGTCGCGAAACATTGTGTTTTTCCAATGATTTATGGCTCCGGAGGGTCGAAAAGTAGGCTCGCTAAAGCGGCGGGTGCGGAGCCATCTGGCCAGGTGATTGATAAAAAATTGCACGCCGTTGTGGCGCGAAGCACATTTGCAAGTGAAAAAGCAAAAAACACCTCAGCTCCGGAGCACTTTTGCAAGTTGAGATGTCGAAAAAGTGCACGCCGTTGTGGCGCGAAGGACATTTCGAAGTCAAAATGTACAAGACACCTCAGGTTCGGAGCACTTTTGGAAGTTGAGATGTCGAAAAAGTGCACGCCGTTGTGGCGCGAAGCACATTTCGAAGTAAACAGGTTAAAAGCACCACATGCTCGGACAACTTTTTGACGTTCAGAGTTCAGATGTCGTTTCGCATGGCAGGCACAAGGGATTGTACACCTTGTTAAAAGTGAGCAAAATGTGAGGGTTTTGTAGCATTTCCAAAAACGATGGCAGGCGTGGGGCATTGGAAGAAGATTTGCAAAGATGCATTTTCGGTGGCAGGCGCAGTACAAGAGACATGTTCATCAGAGCTGTTCGGAGGTCAGGGCGCTGATTTCCTGAGAGGGGATGCATTTTGGAGCATCAGATCTTCAGGTTTGCTGAGATGCTTTTGAGTGACAGGTGCAGCACTTCGTATGACTTGGCAACACTTTTACGTGGCAGGCGCAGCACTTTAGACACATGGACTGGAAAAATCGCAAAACGCATTGGTACGAGGCTGTCAGCTCTGCACTCAACTTTCCATTTTTGAAAGAGGTCTCGCAAAAATTGCTTCGTTTTTGAGGTTGTCAAATTGAAAACTTGAGGAAGTCTTGCAGAATAGCTGCGTTTTTGATGTTGTCAAGTTCAAAAGTTGAGGAAGTCTCCCAGAATTACCGCGTTTTTGATGTCGTCAAGTTCAAAAATTGAGGACGTCTCGCAGAATAGCTTCGTTTTCAAACTTGCAGATAGATGGATGGATGGATAGATAGATAGATACATAGATAGATACGTACATAGATGGATAGATAGATAGGTAGATAGATAGGTAGGTAGGTAGATACAGACAGACAGACAGACAGACAGATAGATAGTTAGATAGATGGATAGATAGATAGATAGATAGATAGGTAGATAAACGGATATATAGATAGACAGATAGATAGACAACTGCAACTGCACTACACCACACTACAACTTCAACTACAACTACACTACCACTACAACAACAACAACTTCAACTACACTTCAGCTACAAGAACTGCAGCTACAACCACAATTACAACTTCAACTACACTTCAACTACAACTACAACCTCAGCTACAAATACTACAACTACAATGACAAGTGCCGCTACAACTACAACTGCAACTACCCTTACAACTGCAACAGCTATTGCAACTACACTACAACTGCAACTGCAACTACAGCTGCAAGTACAACTGCAACTACAGCTTCAGCTACACTACAGCTACAACTACAACTACTCCACTACACCACGCTACATCCAGGAGTTGTGAGTGAGGTGGCCACTGCAACCATTGCCAAAAAGCACAGCTCCAATCACCTTTCGGTCCATCAGTGGATTCGCTCTGCCATCCACGCGTCACGACAACTCACCTCTCCTATAGTGTCCTATCCTTGAAACTTCCGCCACCGCCTTGTGCGGTACTACTGGTATGTAGAGTAGCGGTTGCGACGGTGTTTGGGTGTTGTACAGTTCAGAAGGCGAAGAGCAGCACGCTGGAAGGCGATTGCCTTCTTCCTCGTCAAGCTGGATTGGCGGTCTATGGACACTGAAGAATCTGATGAAGAGGGAGAACAGAGAAGCAAAAAGGCCAAGGATGTGAGCAGTCTCCTGTCATTTCACTGACTGGATTAGGCTATTCAGATCTCACAGGGAAATCACTGCCTTGTGAGTTGAGGGTATTGGTTCTGTAACTTCGCTGACGAAGGATTATTTTATCATTTGCTTCAGCCAAGGCTTACCAATGATGGATTGCTTTGCCATATCAGTGACGAACCTGTCGCCTGCTAGCAACACGCAGAGAGTTTGGAGCCCATTGTGTAGTGGAGTAGGGTGAACCTATCAAAGTCATTTGTTCTCTGGAAAGGCCTCAATCAACGCAGTCATCAGTGGATTCATAATAATCAAACATGTCATTTGCAACGTGAAGTTAATTATCGGTCTCTTTAGAGTTGCAGCGATTCTCCGACCCAAAATTGGGAATATAACTGATCTCCACCATGAGGCAATGCAGGTTGCCCATACCATGCGGTTCTGATCAATCTCATATTTCGCAGAGATGAAGATTTGCAGGAAGGTCATGGATCTCTCGCTTATAGCCACATCCATGACGCCCTGCCGCTTGCAGGTTGCCTCCTGTTTGGATGGTGTTAATCCTTTGGCTGTCACACTTCATGGACTCCACCCAGCAGGGCAATTTGGACCATCAAGGCTCTGGACTTTGTTCCACAGCGTTGTTTGATTCGTCATGCTTCAATGTGCTTCATCATGCTTTATCGACAGGAAGCATGTTCGCTCGGTATGTCAGAAACTTGCACAAACTCTGAACCTGTAGCACTGTCTCGAGGCCGTCTCACTGCAAGAGTGTTGGCCACCCCAATTTTTTTCCTTCATGCGGCTTGGTGACTTGGTGTGGACTTGGTAATCTGCATGCCATGTATGCCAACTCTGCTCCCCATTTCAAGAATCACAGTGGCTTGGGTAGTGTATATACCCAAACGTACCATCTTGTGTAGCCCGCTTGGCCAGATGCAGTGGAGCTCAGTCTATGTTTAGGTCCAAACGCAAATCTTTGCAACTTCAAGGGCCGGAAGGGTTTTGCTAGGGACCACCTGATCTGTGGGTCTATGTTGATTTGCTTCCAAGCTCTATGCTTGCCACTGTCCTGTGAGGGTGGTGAGTTGCGAGTGTGGTTTCACAGACACACATGCACACTTGCATTGGCATAGTCACTAGTGGAATTCCTATTCTGAGCTGACTTCAACCTATTTACCATCCGAAGGCATTTGTATCAAAGAAAACACGAGTTTTGGTTTTGGCTTGAAGGGTTATGAGCCCAAAGACGGGCCTCTTTGCTTAGCCATGGAATCCAGGGTAAGGGCTCGCTCAGTTCCTACAGGGGGTAGAGCTTCGATGGTTGCCAACCCTTTCCATTCCGAGAAGGTCAAAGCTGAAATCGCTCTTAGTGTTGCAAGGCCTGGTGATTTCCCAATGAAGCTGGTAGCAATGGGAATCCTATTCAAGATGACCATCACACGGTTTCGGGTCAGTAGTCCCAACGGGAAGGGTCGAGGGAGTCTGGGTGAGAAAGAGGTTTCTTTAGGTGCCCCAGCTATGGGATCTCAGTCACTGGATGGACTGCAACGAGCGTTGGAGGTAGAGTTATAGTGGATTTTTTGAAGATTCAGAAACGAAGATATCTCAAGAGGTAGCCCTTCTCAGGAGCCAACTTGAATCAAGATCTGCGAGCGGAAATGTAGATTCTGATCCCCATGGCCTGCAGTAGGAGGGGTTGGATCTGGTGAAAGTTCTGACATGAGGGCTGGACAGTCTGACCGCCTTGGAAGACATTGGAGTAGGACACCCCGCAATCGCATTCGTGAAGCCGCAGTTAGCCTTGAGAAAGGAAGAGATCAACCAGGGTGCACTCCAAATGGCACTAGGTTTCCAGATGGTTCACCACCAGCTGGGAACGATGTTGACTTGCCGCCGGTTCCACCTTTTCCGGTTGCACCAGCTGAGAATGTTGGGGATGGTCATCAGTTCTGTTCAGTTTTGTGAGCGGATTGTGCGATACATGTGAGTCCAAGCCACGTGCCATGAATGGTGACACAACTTGGAAACCATGTGGTAATCGATGTGAAGATGTTTTACTCCTGGGGAAGCCAAACAGATGTGGCTAGAAAGGGAGGTTCAGTCGTTGAAATTCGCTGTGGGTAGGGCCACAGTCCCTCCTGCCATGCAACAATCTGGATACTGGAAGTCTGGTTTTCAGAGAAGTCCCTCCAGCACTCGGGCCCCTCAATTTGCCACTGCCTGCACTGCACATGGGCAAGATGATCGTCACTTGCGTGGTGGATGTGGTGATTTTTATCCTCAAGGTCGGGCTAGCACTGGTGGAGGTGGAGAAATCGCACTTCAAGATCGGGCTAGCATGGTGACACTTGGTCTTTGTGGCGAAGGTCGAGCGGTGATGTTCATGGCCACGGTCGGGCTAGCTCTCAGCACGGGGGGCGCCGAGATCACGATCGGGCTTTCTCTCAGCATGGGGGACTTCGGCGTTGCACTCTGCAGGTCTGCATGATACCGGAGTTCCTGATCCCTGATTCCTTCCGCGGCATGATGTGGGGGAAGGTGGATTTGGAGTTGGAAATGCCCTGACATGACTCTGCCGGTGGCGTGAATACGAAGAGTGAGCTCCCAGACTTGCCAGCGACGGCATCACTGCTGCGGTTTGGTGACTGGCAGTTCCTTAGCTCACCGGTGATGGAAGACATCAGTGGAGCTGCAGGATGGTGGTGCCAGCGCGCACTACGTGAGGCAACGTGCTTCTATGAGCGATGGAAAGAGAGCACACCGCTTCAAAAAAAAACGACCTCAACTACCCGACTCCCTTCAAGAGCCTCGTTGTCACAGAACTGAGCAACCAGGTGTGCACATGTTGCCGAAAGCGATTCCGGATATGGAACACCAGCCCCTGGTGACGGATCGTGCATTGTCATCAACGGCAATCCTGGTGAGGTTTCAGCCTGGAGGTGCAGGAGAAAAACAACTACTGTCGAAGCAGCTCACCGATATCCCAAGCTCCAAGAATGTTCCGGATCTTGCCGCCTCCATTTGAAGTTGGTGTCGGCACTTCGGTCGAGCTCAAGAAGTCAAAGCTGTGCTGCCTGACGGTGTCTTGCTGGTCAAAGCCCTTGACAGACCAGTGCAGCAGTTGGCTGTGATGGATCAGCAGGCGGCTTTCCGTCTTTCACAGAGCAGAATGCAGTTGCAGCTCGACGAGAAGCCGGAGCACTCGCCGCTGTGGGCATTTAGCCAATGCGTGTTAGCAGAAGCTGAGACCTTGCGTTTGATGGCAACTTCTGCAACAACTCCACCTCAAACACCGCTGAAACTGAAACAGCTCCAGACTGACCAGAACACTCCATCGAGCACTACTCCTCTTGAAAAGAAAACGAAACGGGAGCCACCATTGACAAACCCTGCAAATACTGGGCATCAGACGCTGGGTGTCGGGCTGGTAAGGCTTGCAAATGGGTCCATGCATGGGAGGGAGTGCCTGACAAAGCTGCTCGATGTTGGATCTGTGGCAGCAAAGAACATAGAAAACAAGACTGCCCAGTGAAGTCGGCCTGAAGTCAGCTGGTAAGAAAGCGGGTGAGCCGAATGCCGGCCCAGGGGGAGGACGTGGACGTGGAGCAGCTTCTACTTCAACAAGCTCAAAATGGACAGTTGTGGGAGGGAAAGCAGGTGCAGCAGCTGTGAAAGTGGCAAAAAGCTCTGAGGAAACCTCTGCAACAACCACAGATGGAGGAGGTGCAGTAGCCCCACCAGAGGTGACAAGCTCTATACTACAAATGGTGATAAAGGTGGAAGTCGAGCTGATGACGACAAGGGCAACAAAACTGCCGAGCTTTTACATGAAGCCACACAGCTGTTGAAGACGCTTCGAGTCCCAATGAGCCCCAAGTTGAAGGTGACGCAATTGAGCAACATCGAGGCTGTGGATGACGAGTGCATCTTGTTGGACAGTGGAGCCACACATGCTTTGCGCCCTGCCAGAGATGCGGATGAATGGCAGTCCAAGAAGAAGGGCACGAAGATCCTTTTGGCAGAGCCATCAACTCAGGTGCCCTGGATCATCCCCATGGGCGGCCTCTCTGACTTGGATTTTTCCGTTGGAGTGGCGCGATGGCCTATGCAAGTTGAAGGATGACGAGGGCCGTGAAATCCCCCTTGAGCTCCGCAATAGATGCCCTAGGATTTCCAGGTTGGAGGGCGAGAAGATTTTGCAGTGGCTTGATGAAGCTATGGTCTACAAGGGCTGCTTGGACTTGGAGGTAGCTATGACATTGAAGATGAAGGAGATCTTCCCCAACCTGCCTGATGAAGTGATGATGGGTTTGATCCCACGACTGGAGCAAGTGCGGGCCGCCGACTTTGGATCGAAGGTGCCATGGAATCGACACAAGCGCAGACGGATCCAAAAGGCGAAGAACTTGATCGTTCACATCGTCTCGGGCCCAACCAGCGCTTTTGGGAGCAACAGTGCTCTACAGCTTCCACTGAGGTTTTGTGCGTGGACACGGACAGCTCGGTGCCAGCTAGTCTGCTTGACAAGAACGTCTTCGCCTACCTGCTCTCACTGTGTGCCTCAGGCCGCGTCAAAGCCTTGATAGGCGGACCTGCATGCCGTACTATCAGTGCACTCAGTGTCAGGTATCAAAATGATGGTGGCCCGGGAGTCTTGCGTGATGATGAGTTCACCTATGGCCTTTGCAATTTGTCGGTGGTTGATCACAACTTGGTGCTGGGCGATGTGATGCTGATGTTTCGATTTTTGGCTTTGCACATTTTGGCTGAAGATGTCCGTGAAGAAGGAGTGGCTCTGACCCAGTGAGCGCTGGAACAACCAGAAGATCTAGCCAGATACAGAAGCCCTCAGGACACCCACGGCAATGGGTACTTCAGCTTCTTTCGAACGAAAGAATGGAAGGATTTTGAAGCCAAGCGCAACATCACCCAGCTTCACATGGATCAACACCCAATGGGCCACAAGAAGCGCAATCCGACCACCATCGCCACCGACATTGAGGAGCTCTATCAGTTGGATGGGCCACGAGGCGAACCTGATGGCGAGCCAAGGGCCGCTGAGGCTTTTCGATCCATGACGCTGCAGCAAAGAATCCTGGAGTCAAAGACCTGGTCGAGCTGGGCTGAAGGCTTGAAAGCAGCGATCTCAACAGCCTTGAACATACAATGTTTGGAAGCTGAGGTTTCTCCACTGGCTCAACAACCAGTGCTTCGACCCATTAGCCAAATCGCTCTTGAGGCCTGGAAGCAACATTTTCTTCACGATCACCTTCCGGCGAGAAGAGACTGCATGCACTGTGTTCGTGCACAAGGTCGAAGCTTTCCACATCGGCGAGTTTCTCATCTAGACGCGTTCGCCCTGTCCATTGATCTCTCTGGCAAAATGGTTGTGTCGGAAGAGATCAAGGTGGAGATCGCTGTCGATGCATTCCTCAATGCGCCGCGGCGAGATGACTCCAAAGTGACGGCCATGGAAGTCCCTGCGGCGTTTCGGAAACTTGGCTTGGCGTCATCGAACGACGTTTCGATCATAGAGAAGGCACTTTATGGACTGGTTGGGTCGCCACGTGATTGGTGCATCTATCGAGATGAGACGCTGCCTTGAAATTCCTGGAAAAGGGTGCGCGGAGGAAGTCATGTGACGGGCCACTTCGAAAAGACAGCTGATGAAAATGTCTGGAGGCTGGTCGGGGTGGATGAAAAAACAGGTGAAAACAGCTGGACTGGTTTGATGATGGTCGATGTTGACGACCTTCTGGTGTCGGCGGAGGAAGATACGGCCAAAGCAGCGCTGGGAGCAATCGCCAGTGTTTGGGCGACTTCGGAAGTTGAGAAGGTGGAGGAGGGCGGAAATGGGTCCTGGGGGAGACGGTTTCTTATTCTCACAGAGGATGTATGCAAAAGAGATGTTGCAGCGCTGGGAGATCAACAACACCGTGGAAGCCCCTCACTACCGTCTTGGTGAAGGAGATGAAGATACCTTGGAACGAATAGACCCCAAAGAAATCAAAGTTGCACAAGGAATGGCTGGAGCCTTATTGTGGCTTACAACACGGACTCGACCCGATTTGGCGACGAGCGTAGCTGCAGTGTGTCGTTTCGCTACAAAAAATCCCGAAAAGTGTGATGAAGTATGTCAAGGGGATGGCTGGCGGTCTGCACTACACCAAGAAAGTGCCGACTGATGCCCTTGAAGCTCCCTGCTAGAGGTGTACCCTGACGTAGCCGTTGGTACAGGGTCAAAATGTCGGAGCATCCATGGCCTCGCCGTTTACTTCGGTGGCTGCGTCATTGCTTGGCAAACTACAGTTCCGCCATTCGCTACCCATTCCACGGCGGAGTCTGAGCTTGTTGGCTACTGCGGCTCCTTGAATGCCGGGCGATCAGCAGAGGCGATGTTGGCCAACATGATGGGCGTTCCGAGTGGCGGTTCAGCCATTGAGCGAATCCTTTACGGGGACAAGGTGGCAGCGATTGGCTTGGCGCTTCATGGCGGACACGAAGATTCAAAGAAGCCTTGGAGGGTCGTGCGCCTGGAGGCCTGTGGCGACTACTACATCTTCTAGGAGCTGAGTTGGTCGCAGATCGACTCACAAGGCCTCTCCTCGGACACGCCTTCAGATCCTTTTTGGAAGACTCGGGCACGCACCGAAGGGAGGAGAACGCGGAGGAAGAAACGCTGACAGCTGGAACTATGTTGCCTGGCGTCGATGCTGGGGAGGAGGAGGAGGAAAGCGAATCCGAGTTTGAGGCCATTTGGGCCTGCGGTGCAATTTTGATGACATTGGGGGCAATCTACTTGGGGCAGCTAACTTTTGCGAGTGTCCGATGCTGTCTTAGAAGATGGTGTGTTGATGGCTGCGCCAGCGATGAGGTTAGCTGTTGGAATCCTGCCTTTGCAAGGTGTGTGGCGCCTGGATCGAATGAAGTGTGGGCACCAAGGACGAGCTCTTTGTCCCAGTCTTCACAGAGACGTTGAGTTCGGGCTTGCAGCAGCGATCTATGGCCTTGGTGTCTCTCAGGACATTGTGGTAATTTCAGGTGATGATGAGTCCCCGAGTGAAAGCAACTGCACGGGAAAACCTGCGGCAGTTCAGCGATCAAAACAGAGCTCTTCGACATCGGGCTTGGCAGTTCGGCGATCATCAAAACCGACCTCTTTGACGCCGGGCTTAGCAGAAGAGCGATCAAGACCGAGCTCTTCCACGTCGGGCTTAGCAGATCTGCGATCCAGACCGAGCTCTTCAAGCTCGGGCTTTGCAACTATATGAGCAGTTCTGGCGCTGCTGAGAGGCGTGATATGGATGGGCCTCCAAAGGAGCCGGAAAATCCATGGAATAGATTCCAACAGGCCAACAAAGGCAAAGGCTGGTCACAAGCAACCATTCTGAAAAGGCACAACCAACAGAAGAAGAAGACAATGCCTTGAGCCTGAAAGTCATTTTGACTTTTTCCTTTTTCAATGAGAAGTCTTTGGGAAGCCTCAATACAAAGAAGCCGAGCTGAACAAAAGCTATGGCATAGCCATAGGGGGGAGTCTGAGCTGACTTCCACCTATTTACCATCCGAAGGCATTTTTATCAAAGAAAGCACGAGTTTTGGTCTGAAGCCTATAATATACATCGAACATTGACCGAGTCAGCAACTAAGCGAACGAGTCAGCAACTAAAAACGCGCGGGTCAGCAACGAAGGAAGTCTGAGCGAGCCACATCGATCACTGACCAGTCCATAGAGACATCCATAGACATACCACAGCTGTGCTATTCTCTGTGAAATGTATTTCAGGTCTTGAATGGGACACACCACGCAGTACATTCCGTACAGGATGTGCTGTTTACCATACGACTACGGACTCCAAACTACGGACTATGTGACATCTATGTGACTAGGTAGTGTACATAATATTCATACATACACAATCACACACACACATACACAATGTGGCCCGCATACATCATGCATTGCATTGCATTGCATTGCGTTGCATCGCGTCGCATCGCATTGCATCACATTAATACAGACATACTTACATCACATTGATACAGACATTAGATTACATTGCAAGACATTCCAAAACATAACAGAACATAACAATACATATCAAAACATACCAACATACAACAGTACAACGCAATACAAAAGAACACACAGCATCACACAACAATACTTAACAATACCTGACAATACACAACGACATAAGCAACACACAGGAATACATAACACCTCTTAATTAACAACACACAACAACACATAGCAATTCCTAACAATACGCAACAATACGTAACAATACATCCAACACATAACAATACACTAAATACACAACAATACATAACCATAGACAACAATAGATAACAATAGATAGCAATACATATATATATATATATAACAATGCAGATGCATTATAATATATATATAATTATATATATATATATATTTATAGATTTACAGAAACTAAAAAAACACTCTCACAGTCCCCGCTCTCTCTCTCTCTCTCCCTCTCTCTCTCCCTCTCTCTAATTATACACATAAATAACGATACATACGTATGTACAAACACACACATCTATATACATGTACCATATGTACAGATACATACATACATGCATGCATCCATCCATTCCATCCATTCATCCATTCATCCATTCATCCATTCATACATTCATACATTCATTACATTCATACATTCATAAAATCACATGACATGACATGACATGGCAATCACATTACGTTACACTAGATTAATACTGACAGTGCGCTGCATTACACTTCACTTCACTTCACTTCACTTCACTTCACTTCGTCTCATCTCATTTCATCTCATACATTGCGTATTGACATATGTGCAAAAAAACTCCATGTTGTCTGAATGAAACATGTCACTGTAAGGTAGTAAGAAAGGCAGACACATACGGGGACTGCGCGAAATCCCCTGTGTTTGCTGACAAAGATCCCAGGTGTGTCCAAATGTAAACATTTACTGCAATGTTGCATTGCCCCTGAACCATCACCGAAGGTTGTACTTGATACGGTCGTACATCGCTCCTCACAAACAAGACCTGCTTCCTGTCCGGCTTCGCACCGTGGAGAGCCTAGGGATGCTTCAGCTCACAGGAACCGATTTGAATTGTGTAGTCGACTTTGAGAAAATGCTGGTGGAACCGTTGGGGTGAATTTGCCCGAGAGCCTACGGCTACCGTTGCCACTGTACAAAACAGATTACTTACAATGAATTTGTTTCAGTTTTTCGGAAGCAGCTACTTGAAAGATGAAGCATGATGGCGCATGATGTAATGGAGCATGATGGAGCATGATGGAGCCATAAGACCCTTTGTTCTGAGCTGTTGATCCAGGTCGGTTATTTGGACGTCTTTATGCGCGATGCCAAGCTTGTGGAAGAGCAAGAAGAAGAGGAAGAAGAAGCTGAGCAGGAGCATTTTCAGGGATAGTCAGGCTTTGATGCGGAAATGGGTTCTTTGCTGAAAGAGAACCAAACACAAAGCCACAGCAGCGAACTTGGTCCTTTGCTGTTTGCCCATGTCGTGTGTCACGTATCCAGACTGTATTCAGAGCATTCGGTCTCTGAGACCACAAAGCTGACAACTTCTTGTGTTGACTCAGCAGGAACGTCCATTCAAACATTGATCATTTGGTTGACATAATAATATAATGGATGTCACATCTCTTTATATCATATATATATGTATCTATATGTATATATATATATATGTATGTATATATCATATATGTGTAAATATAAATATATCATATATGTGTACATATATATATACATATCATATGTATATATATATATATATCATAAATGTGTACATTGCATGTATATTTACATATCATGTGTATATATATATACACATACATATGTACATATAGATATCATGTATATATATATATTTACAGATATCATATATATATATATATAGCGACGGACACCCACTTAGAACGTATTTTCCATTTTTTTCGCACTTAGAACGTGGCACGAAATCAACACTTAGAACGTAGGCAAAATTTCATCACTTAGAACGTAAAACCAACACTTAGAACGTAGGGAGGCCAATTCAACACTTAGAACGTAAAACCAACACTTAGAACGTTCCAAGTAATTGTCCGTCGCTATAATTATGAATAATTAACATGATATGTATATACATAATTATACATACATTATATATATATATATATTTTTTACTACTATCCAATTCCTTCGAGAAATCGATGAGGCACCCACCGTTTCAAATGAATAATTAACATATGATATGTACATGTGTATATGTATATACATACATACATTTAAATAAATATTATATAAATAATCCCTTCCCCCCAATACTAACCCCCCCAAATAATAAACACCTCAGGTAGTTTTTATTATTGGGGTGGTATGTATCATTAGGGAACCAAAGCGGACCCTAAAAATAAATTAAAGCACTTGATTAAAAAACTATTTTTTTCGATTTCAAAATCAATTAAATTTCCTTATATAACGCAATTAAAATATTGCCACAAATTGGATTTCGATGCGGACATAGATAATAAATTAAAACCTTTGATAAGAAAAACTATTTTTTTCGATTTCAGAATCAGTTAAATTTCCTTATATAACGCAATTAAAATATTGCCAAAAATTGGATTCCGAAGCGGACCCTATTAATAAATTTAAAACCTTAATTTTAAAAAAATATATTTTTCGCTTTCGAAATCAATTGAATTTCCCTTTATAACGCAATTCGAATATTGCCAAAAATTAGATTTCGAAGCGGACCCTAACCGAAGGAAGTTTAGAAGTCAAACTTCCGACAATATGGAGAGATGAAAAAGCAGTCAGCAGGGAGAAGAGTCAGAAGAGAAAAGATCAGAAGAAAGAAGATGCAGGTGCGCGAAAAGGTAGGAAAGTCGCGAAACACTGTGTTTTATCGTGGTTTTGTGGCTCCGGAGGGTTGAAAAGTAGGCTCGCTAAAGCGGCGGGTGCGGAGACATCTGGGGAGATGAGAGATGAAAAGTTGCACGCCGTTGTGGCGCGAAGCCGATTTCGAAGTGAAAAGGTACAAAGCCCCTCAGCGCCGGACCACTTTTGGAAGTTGAGATGTTGAAAAAGTGCACGGCATTGTGGCGCGAAGCACATTTGGAAGTAAAATGTGTTAAAAACTGAGGGGTTCGGAGTAGTTTTGGAAGTTGAGATGTTGAAAAAGTGCACGCCGTTGTGGCGCGAAGCCGATTTCGAAGTGAAAAGGTACAAAACACCTCAGCGTCGGACCACTTTTGGAAGTTGAGATGTTGAAAAAGTGCACGGCGTTGTGGCGCGAAGCACATTTGGAAGTAAAATGTGTTAAAAATGAGGGGTTCGGAGCAGTTTTGGAAGTTGAGATGTCGAAAAAGTGCACGGCGTTGTGGCGCGAAACACATTTGGAAGTAAAAAGTGTTAAAAACTGAGGGGTTCGGAGCAGTTTTGGAAGTTGAGATGTCGAAAAAGTGCACGCCGTTGTGGCGCGAAGCAAGTCAAAATGTACAAAACACCTGGGTCTCGGAGCACTTTGGAAGTTGAGATGTCGAAAAAGTGCACGCCTTTGTGGCGCGAAGCACATTTCCAAGTCAAAATGTACAAAGCACACCATGTACGGACCACTTTTTGGAACTTGAGATGTCGAAAAAGTGCACGCCGTTGTGGCGCGAAGCACAGTTCGAAGTCAAAATGTACAAAGCACACCATGTACGGACCACTTTTGGAGGTTCAGATGTCGTTTCGCGTGGCAGGCGCAAGGGATCGTGGACCTTGTCAAAAGTGAGCAAAACGTGAGGGTTTTGTAGCATTTTCAACTACAACCACCACTACACCACACTACACTCCAATACATTACACTACACTACAACTACAACTACACCTTCACTACATTCTACTACACTACACTCCACTACACTACACTGCACTCAAGTACGCTCAATTACACTACACTACACTACATTACACTACACTACACTCCACTACACTACACTACATTACACTACACTACATTACACTGCACTACACTACATTACACTACACTACACTACCTTCCACTACAGTGCATTACACGACACTACATTACACTACACTACATTCCACAACACTACAACTACAACTGCACAAAATTACACTACACTACACTACATTACACTACACTACATTCCACTACACTCCACTACACTACACTACATTACACTACACTACATTACACTTAATGACACTGCACCACAGATAGACAGGTAGACAGATAGACAGATAGATAGACAGATAGACAGGTAGACAGCTAGCAGATAGACAGATGAAAGCGAGAGAGAGAGAGAGAGAGATAGATAGATAGACAGATAGATAGATAGATAGACAGGTAGACAGATAGACAGATAGACAGATAGACAGATGAAAGAGAGAGAGAGAGAGATAGATAGATCGATAGATAGATAGATACATAGTAGATAGATAGGTAGGTAGGTAGATAGTCAGAGAAAGAGAGCGAAAGAGAGGAGACCTCAAGCACCTTTCGGTCCATCAGTGGCTTCGCACTGCCATCCCTGATTCACAACAACCAACCTCTCCTATAGGTTTCCTATTTTTGAAGCTTCCGCCACCGCCTTGTGCGGTACTACTGGTAAATTTAAACCCTTAACAAAACAAAATTATTTTTTTCGATTCAAAATCAATTAAATTTCCTTATATAACGCAATTAAAATATTGCCACAAATTGGATTTCGATGCGGACCTAAAAAATAAATTAAAACCTTTGATAAGAAAAACTTTTTTTTTCGATTTTAAAATCAAAAATCAGTTAAATTTCCTTATATAACACAATTAAAATATTGCCAAAAATTGGATTCCAAAGCGGACCCTAATAATAAATTTAAAACCTTAATTTAAAAAAATCGCTTCGAAATCAATTGAATTTCCTTTTATAACGCAATTAAAATATTGCAGAAAATTGGAATTCGAAGTGGAATCGAAATTATGTCAATGTTTCCTACGGAATTAGCTGCTAAATCCAACGCTTAGAACGTCAGAACCCCCAAAAAGCACCAAAAGGATCCAAAAGGTATAGTGTTCCAGAGATAAAAGATCGCCAATATTTGCAAATCATATGGGGGGGAAAAGCCAAATGGTACGAAATTATGTCTATGTTTCGAATTAGCTGCTGAATCCAACACTTAGAACGTCAGAACCCCCAAGAAGCACCAAAAGGATCCAAAAGGTATAGTGTTCCAGAGATAAAAGATCGCCCATATTTGCAAATCATATGGGAGGGAAAAGCCAAATGGTACGAAATTATGTCCATGTTTCCTACGGAATTAGCTGCTGAATCCAACACTTAGAACGTCAGAACCACCAAAAAGCACCAAAAGGTATAGTGTTCCAGAGATAAAAGATCGCCAATTCAATATTTGCAAATCATATGGGAGGGAAAAGCCAAATGGTACGAAATTATGTCTATGTTTCCTACGGAATTAGCTGCTGAATCCTACACTTAGAACGTCAGAACCCCAAAAAGCAACAAAAGGATGCAAAAGGTATAGTGTTTCAGAGATAAAAAATCGCCAATATTTGCAAATCATATGGGAGGGAAAAGCCAAATGGTACGAAATTATGTCTATGTTTCCTACGGAATTAGCTGCTGAATCCAACACTTAGAACGTCAGAACCCCCAAAAAGCACCAAAAGGGAAACTATGTCTATGTTTCCTACGGAATTAGCTGCTGAATCCAACACTTCGAACGTCAGAACCCCCAAAAAGCACCAAAAGGATCCAAAAGGTATAGTGTTCCAGAGATAAAAGATGGCCAATATTTGAACATCATATGGGAGGGAAAAGCCAAATGGTACGAAATTATGTCTTTTTTTCCTACGGCTTAAAATGTCAGACCCCCCAAAAAGCACCAAAAGGTATAGTGTTCCAGAGGTAAAGATTGCCAATATTTGCAAATCATATGGGAGGGAAAAGCCAAATGGAACGAACTTTTGTCTAGAAAAAGCTGATGAATCCAACACTTAGAACGTCAGAACCCCCAAAAAGCACCAAAAGGTATAGTGTTCCAGAG